CCGGGATAACTCAAAGGGTTACCTCTCAGCATTCATCACTCCCCTGAGGCCAGTTCACATCTGCCACAATCCAAATTCCCTGTGGGGGGAGGAAGGAGAACCCAGAGCTCTTTTCTCGCTCTCTCTTCCTGGTTTAGTCGGGGGCTCCATCTCAGGACACGGCTGGGCTCTGTGGAACTCCTCGGTGGGATGGGGGTTGATCCTCCAGCTCTGACCAGTAAGCAGCTCAGCCAGCCCCCCTTGGAAGACACCCAAAGCTGCTCAGCCAGGCTCCCTTCGGAGCAAAGACCCAGAGCTGAGCAGAATCAGGAAGAGACACCCTGGGGTCTTACAGAAGACCCAATTCCCAGCCCTGCTAATCTGGGGACCCCACCGCAGCCCCCCTGCAAAGCAGCCTGCAGGATACTCAGGGGAAAGCCCAGCACCGGGCTGGGGGGAGCCAGGCTCCCAGGTTCCCCTGCCCTAAGGAGAGGACTCCCCCAACATGCACCGATAATTCCAAATAGCCCTTCTTCCCTCCGGGGCTCTGGGGCTCCTACAGTGCCCAGGTTCCTCTCCCCTCAGCCCCGAGCCAGGCTCCCAGGAAGCCGCAGGACTCCGGCAGGTGTGGTGGGGATGGGCTCGGGAGGGGTCCTCCTGCTCCAATTGGGTCCCCCCTTTTCAGAAACAGCATCCAAAAGGAAAGGACGGAGCAAGCTTCCCCTGTGGGGGATCAGGCGCTCATTGCCTACCTCCCTTTCCCGGGCAGGGGTCCCCCAGTGGATCCACCGGGCTGGTGAGAGGTCCCTTGAGAGAGCAGCTGCCGCCGCCTCCCTTTCCATCTCCCGGTGGGCTTCAGGGGAAGCGCGGGACTTTGGGGGCAATTCCAAAGGGAGCCCCCTGACTCTAAATGGGGCAGACCCCTTTCCTGGGGCTGCAGCTTGTGGGAAGGCTGGCCCACTCAGTGGAGGCTTTGGCAGGCCCCTCCCAAGGGGATCCTGCGGCTGCCCGGCCACATGTGCCTCGGATGGGGCCAGCCCGGGAAAGCGACTTCCTGGCTGCACTTCTCCCAGGGGGCAGGGCACCCAGATGCAGGGCCAATCAGGAGCCCCAGGAGAGGGCAAGTCCGCATGAGAGAGAGGGGGGAGGGAGGGAGGGACAGAGAGAGAGAGAAAGAAGCACAAGTGCTTTTCTCTGTCTCTGTCTTTCTCTCTGCAAATGGCAGAGGAGGAGGAGAAGGCTGAAAAAGCAGCATGCGGCTCCAAAGCCGCAGGTTGCCGACCTGTGCATTAGACAAATATACGTACATAGCATTACACAGTGGGTTATGCCAAATTAATTTAAAAGAAATAACCGAGTGACTCATTTTAGATAGTAATAGATGGCAAAAAAGAGGCATCCTGCCTTTATTATGTTTCAAATGCCCTGGTTCCTATATTATATGAATCTAACAGCAAATGAACTCACATATAAGAGTACTCTGTTGTAAAATCTAGTTTATCCCTCATCATGGGTTGTTTGCCATTAGGCACACTGGTCACTGTTTTAGATGTTGGTGTTTTTATGAGGGCAAAAACAGCTCCCTTGATGCTCAACTTGAGTGGTTCAGCCGTTCTCTTGAACAAAAATGCTGTGTATACTATTCAGCCAGATCTGTACAGTACTCCCTAATCTGGCCAGCTGTACTCATAATTTAAATCAGCAGCATTGTGTCCCTGCAATCCTAATGCTTTTCTATGATTACCCAGTGCTAATCTTATCTGTTGTTTGATTGTTCCAACTATTTATGTCTTGATGGACATAATTTCACCAGGATTGTCTTCTTTGGTCTTTGTAAGCTGATACTTGTGTAATCAGTGATAATATCTAGCCACCTTGTCTTCTGTCAGCCTCTTTTTTATTGCCTTCATGTTATATTTCCAAAATAGCTGAGCTTTAGCTTTGTTATTAGCACCTCCAGTGAGCACTCTCTTTTCTTTATCTAGTACTGAATAAAATTGTTCTTACAAATAAGTATACTCCACATTTTTTCCAGCTTCCACTTTTTCAAAGGCATATTTTTCTTCATTCAGCTTTCAAAGCTTCATATAATGGAGAAAACTTTGACTACAATAATTTTTGTTATAATCTCTGAACTTTAATATTTTGTCTACATCTATTATGTACAGTCTTCCTCCCAAGTAACGTTTTTATTTATGTCACAGCTACAGTCACCACCCTTGTAAATTTTTGACTCTAGAATGATGTCCCCCTTTATTTCTTCTATTGACAAGCAATGCCAGCTTAATGCAAATAGACAAGAAGTTAAATGGAAATAAAAGCAGACAGTATCTTTCTAAAGTCAAAAATTCCTCTCGCTTCCCCCTCCCCAATTTTGAGGTGCATCTTCAACATAATTCTTAAGACTTCTTTGCTTCCAGCTATCAAAGTGGGGTTATCCACAAAGCTGATATTTTTACAGACATTTTAATTCCAAATCTTATTTATTCTAATCTACCATTTCTCACAATATATGGTGGATATAAGTTAAATAAGCTGAATTATTACATATTCTATTTTAACTATAATCATATAATCAGGTGAAATAGTCTGCTGCACCTATATTTTTAAGGACAACCCATACTTTTGTTGAAGTCTTCATCAGGTTCAGTCCAAGCCAGGAATAAACAACATGGCAACTGCTTTAGAAAGAAGGTTGTACTTTATTGAAGAGGAGAGCCAGACCGAAAGATGGCTCTGAAATAAAAGAGAGAGCACATGTAGTAGGGAGTGGGTTTTTATACCCTCTTGGGCTTTTGTTTGGAGTTGTTTCCTGTTCCTGTTTGAGGCTTTGTATTTCCTGTATCATGTACTTTGACCTGAATCTGAGTGTGCCTCTTTGGCATTTGTGAGTTAATCCTATTATGTCCTGTCTTAGAGTTTGGGTAGGGCATGTAGATTTTAGGTGTCTTTGTCTTCCTAAGCTTCTAGCTGGAGGGCTCCAACTTTCCTGAATGGATTATTACATCTGCATTTCTACAGAGCTGGTTTCTGCTTGGGGGAGGGAGACTTGGGGATATTAAGAAAAACTGGGCATGCTTTTCTGCCTTCTTTAAGATCCTTTGAGGAAATATAATATTCTGCCCTTTTAATATTTCCTTCTCTGGGAGGGGGTGACTTCCCACATTTTCTTGTGATCTACATCAGGGCTTTTCAACCAGTGGTACGGGTACCACCTGTGGTACATTGGCATCTGGCAGGTGGTACACGACTATCCTAGAAAAGTGGTAACAGGGGAGGGGAATGAGCTGAATTGGTGGCAGCACCGCACAAGCCTGAGTGAGAGATGGCTGGAGCTGCAGGACTGTCAGGGCTCAGCTGGAGCCTGTGCTGATCCTGGCTCTTCTGCTGAGCCCTGAAGAAGCACCAATCAGCTGGAAAGCAGCACTGATCCCGGCACTTCTGCTGAGCTCAGAAGAAGCGCCGATCAGCTGGAATGTTGCAGTATCTCCAGGGTCTTGTGATTTACATTCAAATGCTTGGCAACTGATTCATATTTATGATGGTCAAGTGTCCCAGGGTCATGTGAAGTGACCAAAACCTGCTGCAACCACCCAGAAGACGGGGGAATAAAAACCAAACACCTCCCCATCCCACCCCCGCTGCCAATCCTCAACAGAAATGCTCACAACAATGAAAACCTCGGAGAGGAGGAAGATCACCGCCGGGCAGGCAGGCGTCTTGCTCGGCTGTGCCTTGGGGGGCACTTTTTCAGTGCCATTGTATCTTCGAACAGTCACTAAGCGAACTGTTGTAAGTTGAGGACTACCTGTACTTTAACACTTTTTCCCTTTTTTTGGGTCATCAAGTTTTTGACACCTTGCTAAGCGACTGGTGGTACTCAGATATTGCCATATCCTAAAAATGGTACAATGGGTGAAAAGGTTGAAAAACCCTGATCTACATAATCAAAAGCATTTGTGTTATCAATAAATCAAAAGAAATATATTTTAGAATTCTGGTGCCTTTTCCATTATCCACTGGATGTTAGCAATGTGATTCAGGGTGCTGCTATTCAGTCTTTTGTCATCATATGGTAGATAATACAGAAACAAGCATTTTTTCTTGATTAAATCAAGAGGGTCCCATTACAGCAACTGGGGATGCATAATCTATTTTATCTTGCATTCTTTTTTTGAAACAGCTAGGTCCTGCTTCTGAATGTTGCCACAGATGTGGACATTTCCAGTATAGCCAAAACTTCTTTCTTCTAGTCATAATCAGCATTTGATAGGGATACTATATTTAGGTTGCAAAATTCAGAAGATCACTATGTAGGTGCAAAAGGTTTCATAGTATTTTCTACTATCAAGTCATCACCCAGATTTCTAAAGCCCAGCCACAGTGCTCATAGCATTTGCTGGCATTTCTCTTTTGGCATTTGCCCTCTCAGTTAGAGTTCCCTGTAAAGGTAAATTGATGCAAAGCTGATCTGTTCAAATCAGAAATAATATCACAGTAAGACAGGAGCCCCATTCTTCTTACAACTCATTGATTTGTGCAGAAACACCAGGAAGAAGATAACTTCAGGAAGTGTAATATTGACACACTCACTGTAGGTACTGTAGCACATTTCAGCACTAAAGATGCAACAGAAGCCAGAGAGAGGATGGAGTAAAAAAAAAAAAAAAGATCACCAACTTTAAAACTGAAGTGTTTCTTTGATGCAAGCAGAAATGGTAGATAGTACTGTAAATCAATAATGGAGAAAAAGTCTTTCTCATTTCCTAAATATTTATAGTCATAGTATCTACTCTGTAAAAATTCGTGCCACTATACCCCCAAAATTTTATCTTTGCAACTCAAATATGGTAGCCCTACAATAAGTAAGACTTCACTGTCAGTTTCTAAACAATAGGGTCAAACATTTTTCCCCTTGCCTAAGCAACAAAAAATTTAGCCCAATTCTATCACCATGTGATAAAGTGATCTCTTGCAATTGTATGGAATAGGCTTACAGATCAAATCAGCTGCATATTTGTATTAAGGAATGGTCAGGAAGGGAATAGGGTACAATCAAGTGCAATATGCTTGTAAATAACTTATATGGTCCACAAGAGCACAAAACCCGAAAATAAACGATCAAGCTGTTTCACTACTCAATGTAGCCTAAAACAGAGAAGTCAGATGACAATTCCTATAAGTTCCAAACACTTTAGTATTAGCTAAAACCACGAGGAATTATGTGGTATAGTCTCTCACTGAAGCTAAATTAAGAATATTCATTGGAGCACATGATATAAAGCCTACTGAAATGATATATGACTCCATTGTAGTCCTCCATTAAATTAAATTTCAGTGGGTAAAAATCTTAGCCGTCGGCGCCATACAACTTTCCTTGAGCGGCAACTTCCCTGCCGAGATAGTCCGACAGGATCGGCGGAGAAATGAATTCTGGAAAATGTAGTCCGCGAGGACGCTCAGGCCTCCAGTATATTTGTAGTTTGAGGAAGTATCCAAAGGAGGCGGGGCTTTCCAGTTGAACTTTGCCTTCCTTTCCCGCCAATTCTGATTCCAGTTTTGGCGCCAAGCTGCAAGGCGGATTTCTCTGTTGGGAGACGGACGCCGGTGGGACAGTGATTTGTTCCGACGTGGATAAGACGCGATGAACGCTGACGGTCAGCTGCAGACCATCTCTCCCAATGGGTAGGGGCATGGGTTGCCGATGGGTTGCGCACTCGCATCACGCTACTCTCTCTGTTCCCACTCAGTTGTGTATCCACCATGGCTGCTTTTAGATGTATGCCTTTTCCCCGGCTTCCCTCCTCCCCTGTTTACACACTTCTACTTGCTTGGGCAATTGAATCGGGTCCCTCCAAAGCCTACTTAACGTACACACATATCCTGGTGAAATCATTTAATCCTTTCTGTAAAACGGGAAACTTTTTAAATTTCTCCGTCTCTCGTCTTACTATTTTAATGAATTAAACGGAAGCAGTCTCTTCACTATATTTTATGCAGGTCCCTTTTGATTTTAGATGCCCGCAATGCAGGAGACAGGAGAGAACCAAAAGTGTACATTTAGAAACACAATAAGGGAAAGGTACATATGAATCACAGTGTAACCTATTTTGTAGGCTCCCGTTTTTTTCTTTATTCGAATTAAGAATGAACAAACCCCTGAATCCCAAGCTTATGAACATAATATGACAAGCCGGAAAAATCAGCTCACAATTAGAGCACACAATGCAATGTTAACACTCAGGTTAATACAAACAACTGTATTTAAGTAACTTGCATACATATATTGCTTCCTTTATGTCTGGAGGAAAATCACTTTTCCTGGTTGTGTCTGCTTGGGAATGCAGAGCACAGTTTGTTGCTCTGGCTGGCAGGAAACCCTGACAAAAGCAATATTTTATGCAGCCTGCTGTTGTCAAATCTAAAAAGTGGTTTGCAACTTGGAGGAAAAGCATTTCCTTCAGCAGGTTAAATTGCTAGTGTTAAGTATTATGTTGCTGGAGTTCTTTGATTTCTGAAAATTTGGCTTTCTTGTTCAATAACTTTTTTTTCAAAATTCCCTCTATTCTAAAATGAGAGTTAAAAAAAGTTAAAGCATCCTTTACAGATGTAGAATCAGCTTTTAGGTGCAGTACAGTAGTAAAGACTCAGTTGAAATTTACATAGGGTATGAGATAAATGCATTTAACTAAGCAAAGTTCAGTAAAGTCTATATTGAATGCTCTCTTTCTGTACTTCTGTGGATCTGAAAAACAAGCTTTCAGGAAGAAAATGCCAGTTCTGATTTGCTCTGATCTAAACAAACAAAACAGTGAGAAAGTGGGATGACAAGTCCTAAAATTGAGGCAAGAGCTCTTCTTCCACATAGGTGAACTCAGAATTTAACCTAACAGCTTTAAATGTATTCATATTGTTTTATTTTCAGAATCACTGAGTTTGGTTTAGTGGTTAAGGCACCAGCTAAGAAAGTGGGAGAGTCCAAGTCCTACCTTAACCATTTGGGCCAGTCACTTTCTGTCCAGCCCACCTGATAATTTATAGGATTGTAATTGTATGTTGAGATATGTTCTTGAATTATTTGTGAAAACAATAAAGGTGGGCTAGAAATAGATAAATAATCTAAAGTAATTTAATCTGAAATTGTATTGCTGAATGTTTATTTTATGAAACATTCGTATCCTATGCTTTAAATTTAAAAAGGAAAGCAAGTTGATCTATGCAGTAATTTAAAAAGGATAGATTTAAGAATTCTGCAAATCAGGCTTGATCCTAAAAAATAATCACATGAAGATTTTAGATCAGTGGTTCTCAACCTGTGGGTCGGGACCCCATTTGGGGTCGAACGACCATTTCACGGGGGTCACCAAACAAGGCTGTCCGCCATTTTTTCCCCTTTTCTTTGGCCACGCCCCTGGCACCCAGTGATGTATAAGTGGTTGGGGGTCACCACAACATGGGGAACTATATTATGGGGCCGTGGCATTAGAAAGGTTGAGAACCACTGTTTTAGATTTAGCAATTACTGAAATATATTCTGATGGGGAAATAAGTATTTTGAATCCAACCACTGTAAAACCTGAAAGACTGAACTCACATTATAGCAATGACTGATTTTAATGTCAAGATCAGTTTAAAGACATCAGTTTAAATCTGAGTGTTTAAAGTGATCTGCTATCATAAAATAATGAAACAGCCTCATATTGATTAGCTTTTTATCTAAGTCCAATTTCTAGAGAGTGTATCTTATATCTTAATTTATGATAAAATAATGATTGTCCTTCAGATGAGTCTCCCTAAGGAAAAAATATTGAAAAGTAACATTATTCTTGATTAGTGGAAGGCTTTCTCTTAAAATCAGAGAAGAAATTGTTTCATGAGAAGAATACGAGCTCACTACAGATGTATGGCTTTTTGTTACATGGTGATAAGGTTCACACTACATATTTAACTCTAAAAGCAGATTAACAAAAGATGCCTACATAATGTACAAACTACAGCAGAAGTTAATGTAATGGTCCTATTTACACAATATACTACGAGTAAACTTGGTTTTACAGGTACTGGTCCACAGACTGTCAATTCCATTTTAGCTTAGTCTGTCATGTTATATGAACACAGCTATACAGCTTCTTTTTCTGGACCAAATTTGGGGATATTTATTTTTGTAGAAGGAGGCATTTGCACAGTGCATATTGAAGATCCTCTGTATCAGACTTCTCTGTATGAAGTGAAACTTCCTTTCGGTTTTCAAAGAAATTTTTATAAAGTAACTGACAATGCTAGGCAGAAACTATTTAGGAAATGTTTGGAATGCTTTCTAGTACAATTTTAAGTATGCAGAGATCTAGAAAAACTAAATAAATCCTAGAGCAGATACACTATATAAAGAACAGATTAATATACTCAGCCATTTAATCAGACGGCACTGCTCATGTTCACTCATGTGCTAGTTATTTCCTGTTTGGAGTACTACAAAGTATCTACATCAGATTTCCCTTGAAGGCCACTGAGAATGTATTTGTGTGTATAGTTTTGGCTACCCCAGTTCATCTGTGCTGTATTTGCCTACTGTGTGAACTCCAATGACTCCCAGTTTCTTTCCAGGTGGAATTTGAGATGTAGTTATCTCCTTCAAAGACTTGAATGACATGAGGCCTTGTTATCTGAGGTATCAATTCTTTCTGAAAACATCTACTTATCCCATTAAATTGGATGGGATAGGTTTGCTCCAGATTGCTCTACAGCAGACATGTCAAACTCAACTGTGGGCTGATCTGGCCGTGATATGCTTAGATCTGGCCTGCAAGCAAATTAGGAGAAGGAGGTAATTGAGTATGTAGTGGGGGAGGGGTGAACTGAAGCTGCGGGAGTGCCAGAGATGCCTGGGGGAGAGTCAGCTGGAGCTGCAGTGTTGCTGGGGCTCTGCTGAGGCCCTGGGATTGGTGTGTGCGGCTCCAGCTGATCAGGGTTTGCCAGCAGCCACACACAGTCTTTAGGAAAAAAGTCAGCTGGAGGTGCGGGGCTGCCGGGGTTTGGTGGGGGCCCCAGAATCAGTGCACGCAGCTGCAGTTAAGTGCTACATGACAAGGCCAGCCGGCCAGTGAGTGAATGCATGGGGGAGGAGAGGATATAAAAGGGGGGGGTTGGCGGGAAGAAGGAGGAGTGAAGGAGGAGACAAAAAACGATAGGGAGGAGAGGAGAGGCTTCTTTGGGGCAAGCCTGAGGGAGAAAGGGGGACAGCAACTGGCCCTTTGAGGGCAACCATAATGCTAATGCAGCCCTCAAAGAAATTAAGTTTGATGCCCTTACTCTATAGCAGTGGTTCTCAACCTTTCTAATGCTGCGACCCCATAATACAGTTCCCCATGTTGTGGTGACCCCCAACCACTTATACATCACTGGGTGCCAGGGGCGTGGCCAAAGAAAAGGGGGGAAAAATGGCAGACAGCCTTGTTTGGCGACCCCCGTGAAATGGTCGTTCGACCCCAAATGGGGTCCCGACCCACAGGTTGAGAACCACTGCTCTATAGTATTAACTGTTGTCATCTAGCAGGACCTTCTCTGTAGCATAACTACCCTAAGGAGAAACTTCTCCCTGACATATGGAGGGCTCCTACCTTTGACTTCCAGAACCTTTAATTAAGAAGTGGCTTTTCCATTGGGAGTTGAGGCAGCATGAGAAATGACACCACTTGTGTTTTGGAGATGATACTTTTATGTCATTTGGTGGTGTGTGTGTGTGTGTGTGTGTGTGTGTATGTATGTGTGTATATATATATATATATATATATATATATGTATGTATGTGTGTATATATATATATATATATATATATATATATATATATATATATATATATATATATATATCCCCTTTATAGATTACTGCCTTATCGTCGCGAATGGGCTTGCGTAACTCAATGAAGCTATAAGCTATGCCGTGCAGGGCCACCCAAGATGGACAGGTTATAGCAGAGAGTTCTGACAAAATGTGATCCACTGGAGAAGGAAATGGCAAACCACTCCAGTATCTTTGCCATGAAAACCCCATGGACAGTACTAAAAGGCAAAAAGATATGACGCTGGAAGATGAGCCCCTCAGGTCGGAAGGTGTCCAATATGCTACTGGGGAAGAACAGAGGGCTAGTACTAGTAGCGCCAGAAAGAATGAAGCGACTGGGCCAAAGCCGAAAGGACGCTCAGCTGTGGATATATCTGGTGGTGAAAGGAAAGTCTGATGCTGTAAAGATTTTTTCTCCATAGGAACCTGGAATGTAAGATCCATGAATCAAGGCAAGCTAGACGTAGTCAAAAAAGAGATGACAAGACTGAACATCGACATCTTAGGAATCAGCGAACTAAAATGGACAGGAATGGGTGAATTTAACTCAGATGACCATCAGGTATAATACTGTGGGCAAGAATCCCTCAGAAGAAATGGAGTAGCCTTCATAGTCAATAAAAGAATAGGAAAAGCAATACTGGGATACAATCCCCAAAATGACAGAATGATCTCAATTCGAATCCAAGGCAAACCATTCAATATCACAATAGTCCAAATCTATGCCCCAACCACTGGTGCTGAAGAGGATGAAATTGACCAGTTTTATGAAGCCCTACAGCACCTTATAGAATTAACACCAAAAAATGATGTCCTTATCATCATGGGGGATTGGAATGCTAAGG